AATGCAAAGATTATTTTAAACAACTGAAGATATCCATCCATCAAAAGTATTTCTGGTGTACCTATTATGCATCTAACACATAAATAATTTTCACACTAAAAAGCATTTTAAAAGTATTGATATGTTGGTGTCATAGACATATCAATAATTCATAATTAAAGAGAAAGGAGACCTCAGAAAATGATTCATGAAAATGAAACTATATTTCTACTAGGAAATATGTTCAAAATATGAATTAAATTGTAATAACTATTCTAACAGTAAGGGAAACCAAAATTTCAGGAGAAGATATTAGAGAAAAACATTGATAAATTCAAAATAACCACGTCAATGGTATGAAATTTTGCTTCCTTCCATAGTTTTACAGTGGTCTATCACTCTTATTTCTCAACATCAAAAGCCAGAGCTAAAAAAAATTTTAAGATCTCTCAGAACAAATAAAAACCAAAGCACAAGCGATTATCTCAGTTGTCCAGATTACCTTTCATTTAGTTCATGATTTCATTGTTTTAAGGTTTTCTCCAGAGTTATGACCTTCATTTTAAAAATTTCTTTAAACGTTTTCAGCCACCTCTTTTCTCACTTTTTTTGTATTCCCTTCACAACCCCCAAATTAATTTTAATTCACTCAGCCTTGCTTTTTATTTTGAAAAGCTACTTTATTTCAAAACTTAAGGTAAAAAATAGCATTACCTTTGGGAAATTCCTATTGTCAAGTGGCATAAATTAAATTCCTCAAAAATGAATCCTGAAGTAATGCCAGGTGTTGCTAGAACTGGTCTCTGTTATTCAGTTCAAACAACTATACTATAAGCACAGATCAGACCCATGCCTGGCCTCCTAAATTGACAAAAAAACAGGCCTCAAAAGGTTGACTTGCCATTGACAGACCATTTTCCCTTTGAGTGAATTCTTATGATCTGGACAACTCAGGAATAACATGAAACAATATTTAAATGATCCAACAAGTCAAAAAGCTAAATTCAAATTGTGAGTCAGGCTGGTTAGCATGAGGTGCTTATAACACCAAGGTCAAGGGTTTGGATCCCTATACTAGCCAGCTGCCAAAACAAAAACAAAATAAAACAAAAAACAAATTGTGAGGCAATAATATGAATAGAAATAAAGAAATATTAGAAAAGTCAAAATTCTTTGTAAAATAAAATTGACTTTATTATAGGATCCATCTGCTGCAGCAGCTTTCACAAACTTTTATGTGTATCAAAATCATCTGGATTGTTTATTAAAACTGCACTGGAAGCAAGTCTTGGACAACGGGCCTGTTTGGGGAAAACTGCATATGTAAAAAGCACCTTCATTCAGCCACCTCAGGTATGACCACACCTTGGTCTTACCTTTGCTGTTGCCTCACATCTACCTTTATATCACCTGTATTACCATATCTCTGGGTGCCAGTCCACTTCCCCATTGTTACAGAAAAAGGAATGAAAACAATCTTTGCTGTCACTTGCTCCCCACAGAAGGATTTATTTCTCTCTTTCATGGCATGTTGTCACCCTTTCCAGCATAAAGTAAAATGCTGGAAGGAATTAAGGTCATACTTGTCTATCAGAAGTATAATTTTTTTTATCCTCTATCTAGAAAGTAATATGAATGATTTATGTTTGTTGTTAATTCCTGAATCTTAGCCTTCATTTCCAAATAAAAATACCAAGCTATCACATATAACTGCTGGCTAAATTGTTTTTTTTTTTTTTTAAAGTAATGAAACACAAGAGGAAGAAACTCTGGCCCTCCTGCCAATCACACCTCTCCCTGCACTCAGCATTGTTTCTGGGTTAGTGCACTAGTGATTTCTTCACTTGAACACACATATGAGGGAACTGCAAAAAGTCTGTAGAAAGATTTGTATTATCTTCTAATTGTATTTTTCCACAAACTTTTTGAAGTGCCTGCATGTAGTTCACCTCGACTGTCACAACTCACCACCATCCTTTGCAAGTTGAGACCTGGTCGTTACGTGTTTAGAAGAACCCAGGAGCTGATTTGTCTTGTCTACAATTTTAAAGTCTGTGTGACTTTCTACCAAGACTTACTGGAGTCTGTTCCAATGTTGTATTATAGTTGGCATTTTTGTCACATTTTAGAAACTAATCATATTTGGTATACTAAAAATATGTTACATCTGTTAAAATTACTTTACACTGCACTGCAAGATGGTAACACTATGGTGAGAATTGTTTAGCAACACATTTCTTTCAATTCAGGGCTTGTGGGAAAAATAACTAAGTGTGCCATACATAGCTTAATTCTAAGCCAGAGCTGAGTGCTGAAATAAATTCTGAGTAGGAGTAAACTCTAGCATTTAAAAGATTGAAGTTTCAGACTAACGACTTTGAAAAAGACAAGAAATCTTGTACTAAACCAAAGAAAACAAACTGTCAAAACTTTAGGCTCTTACCAGAAATGGACTCCAGCAAATACAGGAAACACACATGATAGCCAGGAGCTGGATGACCATTTCGAAATGATGAGACCTGCCTTGCCTGTGCTGCTGGCTTTTATATTTAACTCTTAAAAGTGTAATTCCTGTGATGGCATTGCACAAGAAGGAAACACCAAGGGCTAAAATCCCCAGAAAAGAAAAAAGTAGAAGATAAAATTGATCTTCCCAGTCTTCGATGTGTTCTGTGTTGTAGAAGCACCAGGTCCTTGACGCCTGAATTTTATAATCTCGATGCCCAAGGATGGGCAGCAAAGCTATGAAAACAGCAAACAAGCACACACTACTCAACAGTATTTTCACATGTTTGGATGTGATTTTCGTAGAATGAAATATTGGTTTGGTGACTCCAATACACCGCTCAATGGCCATCACACTGCCTAGAAAAAGTGGGCAGAGACCAGAGAATACCATGCAGATACCAAAAATACTGCAAAGGACATTTGATTGGTCAAAGTGGATCCAGTCTTTATCAGCTGCATATACAAATACTGCTATAGCTCCATTGATGAGATGGCCAAAGAAGTCTGTGATTACCAGGCCACTAGCCAAAAGCAGAAACGATGCCTTGGACTTCTGTCTAAATCTCTGGTATGCCTTCATGAGAATAACAATGGCAAGGCTGTTTGATAAGATTCCCACTGTCATGAAGATTATTGAAAAAAATACTGAAAGCCGGTTTTCCGTCTGGCAGGTTGTGTTTGCAAGGAGCCCAGCTGCGGGAGACAATAGCTGTTTGGAATTGTTCATGGACATTGTTGTGGAGACAGAAGTAGGCCACTCAAGTCATCTCCCTCTCAAAACTGTGCAGGCTTGCAGTCCAGACATCTGTAGCATAAAGAGAGAGGAATTATAAACAGGCATTACTGCTCATCTGACATTTAAGACCCAAGTGCCCTTAAGTGGTGGGGTCGAATTTATCTGGCCTATCATAAGCGAGGTTACCTCATCCTGAAAGCAGCACACAGGGGTTCCACATTTCATTTTCAAGGTAAAGAAGCTGACAAAATTGAGACCCTTTGGTTAACCTCTATGGTCCCTCTGGAAATGGGCATTTAGGGTCCCTCCTAAATGTCCTCCTGACACATCACTGACACTTTAAAACTTTTAAGGTTTACGAAAACACTAACAAGATTAGATTTAAACCCAATAAAACTTTTAAAGCATAGCAGTCCATTTAAATAACTAGATAACTTTTTAAAGTTTCTGCTCTTTTCCCTGATGGGCTTTGTCCCCAAACTGCAGATTATTCCTTGGGTGAACTACCTGCTTGTCAGGAAGACATTAACAATCCTCTCCAAACTTTGGGAAGAAAACCAGCAAGCTCGCTAATGTTAAATGGAGCTTTTCCGAATACATTTGTAAAGCCTAAAACAAATAACAGCAAACCACACACACAGTGACCCATGGAAGGCAGAGTGGAAAGACTTTAGGAAGGTTATCTGGTCTAGCTACCACCTGTGCAGAAATCCTGGTTCCGGATGGGGAGGGGCGGGCCACGCTCGCTCTGTGCACATCTGCCTAGATGCTGCTGTTCATTAAGTTACAGCTTCAGAGTAGCAACATCCAATAAGAAGCATTTATTTGTCGCTGTCTCCCTAGGGGGCTGAGACCTGAGTCACAAACCCTCTACACACACGACCACAGCCACCCCACCCGAGCTAATTCGATTGGCGTTTCCCCGGCAGCATTCCGGGAGGTTGGGAATCCGGAGCCAGCCTCTCCGGGGACCGGCCCGAGTGAGGCCGCCTCCTCCAGGACTTACTCATGGTTCGACTTTCACCCGCTACGACCCCCGCCACCCCCGGGCCTCTGCTTGCAACATCCTCCCCAAACCTACCAACTTGCTGAAACTTTCTGCAATTGCTCAACGCCAGAGGGCTGTTTTCCCTCCACTCCCAAAGGCCTGCGCTGGCTCGGGTGAGGGAACCAGCGGCGAGAAGGGATTCTCTCCCTGTGCCTATTTCCCTCCTCGCAGACCCTTTCTACGCGGTCCCCATCGCGGAGCTCAGAATCGGGACAGGTCGGCCTGAGTACCCTTCTCCCTCTACGGGTCCCGCCGGCTTGGGGCATCTGGTCCACACTTAACAAGCGCAGCCTAAGGTGCCCTCCTGCGCGGCCCGCTGCAGCTGCCGCGGGGCGTCCCGGGGATGGGTTGGTGAAAGGTCGGTCGCGTGGGGATCCAGCCGCTGGAGGGGTGGTTACCTGGGCATCCCGGGCCCCTCGCCGGGCTCTCCGGGGAGAGGAAGAACGCTCCGCTCCGTGCGCCATGGAGCGCCCGACCCCGCGCCGCCGCCGTCTCAGGTTCCAGCGAGCGCAGCCCCGCGCTCGTGGGCACAGAGCAGGACCAGGAGATGCGAGGACACCGCGCTCGGATGCTATGGCCACCCCATCAGCAGCAGAGCTGCCCTCTCAGCCACCGGACCAGCTAGGGAAAGTTCTGTTTTAAACTCACTCTCGAGTACAATCTCTGAGGATGCAAGATAGGATTCTGGAGAGCTGAGGCAAACCTAAGAGATTATGTGCTGGGCTGTCAGATTGTACCTTGCAGACCTAACTAATTCCAAGTCCAGCTCGGAAAGGATAAAGAAACCAGGTAGAAAGAGGTTGAGTATTTCAGAGTGGGATTCGTGACGGATATCCCCAGGCAGTTAAAAACAGGTATTCAAGCCAAATGTTGCCAGTGGAAACACCCACAGCCTTAGGGTTCACCATCACACAGAGAACTGGACTGTCTCCAGCTTTCTAAGGAGTGTGAGAAAGTGAGATGCATTCTTGAACACCTGCAATTGAGCAATTGCAGGAAGTTTCAGCAAGTTCAGATAAGGGATTAGTATTATTTTAGTGATTATAAATGTCCACTGGTGAGAGAATTTCTAGTGATGTGTAAACCAGAAGACATGTGCATTTAACAAATTTCATGGAGATCAAGATGAAGTAAAGAAATACCCCCTTTTTCATAAGGAATTATGATTTGAGCAATTTGTATATTGTAATTGTTTTGTGCTAATATTGATTTGATCCATATCTATTAACTGTGTCTAATTTTTCCAGCTAAACACTTATGTGAATCTATTATTGACTTTTCTTCCTTTTATTTTAGTAAAATATTGCCACCATCTATGTGAAACACCAGTGCCATATGGATATAAACCCCCTTTCTCCATCCTCAAATCAGAAGGGGCCTCTAAATTCCTGGAAATTGGAAAGGATCATAAAATGCAAAACTGAGATAAAATAAAATAGCCATTAACTGTAGAAAAGAACGATTGCAGCTTTCCCCTGTGGTAGATATTGAGATTTTTTTTTTAATGATATGATTATAACTTGTAAAGTAAACTGTTACTCGAGTATAGTCAGGGAATTGAATATTTTGGTTAATCAAATATTCTGGTTAATAGAGAAATATTATACTTAGGCGGCCAGTATCCAAAGAACAACTATGCGATAAGCCACACTGAAAATGTGAATGACAAAGAGCACTATTGTTTCCTTTCATGATTAATAATACTTAATCACATTACATTGAGCCAGTATCCAAAGAACAACTATGCGATAAGCCACACTGAAAATTTGAATGACAAAGAGCACTATTGTTTCCTTTCATGATTAATAATACTTAATCACATTACATTGCAAGTATCAGTTTACTTATGTCTCTCCCACTGAAATGAATTCCTGCAGAGGTCTTGTCCATCTTTTCATCCTCACTTAGGACAATGCCTGTCCACTCACCAAATGTTGTTTGAATTTATAAATGCTTTATTAGCATTTTCAGTATTACAGTTTGAGATCTTGAAAATTCTCAGGCTGTCACTGGAGCACCTCACTAACATCATTTGCTCTAGCTACTAGGTAAAAAAATAAAATAAAAAAGAAAGAAAAGAAACAATTCTCATTAATGTAATGTTAAATCATAACATTCATTTGTAATATATTCAAAACAATATTAATTTATTTTTCAAAGTACTAGATAAATCCCAATTTTTTTAAAAAAAACTACTTTGCACGTATTATTGGAATTCCTTTTTAGAATCCATTCCTTAATCAAAGCTCAACTCACCTGAGTATTAATAAAAGATTCTAGAACACCTACATCTCTTCTCCTCAAGATAGAATACATTACTATTAGTAAGCTGCTAATCTGTAAGAAAGAATAAAAAACTAATTACCTTCAAAAGAAACACTGGCCTTATAGGACTTAAATCTGATCCCCTATTCAAAGTTCCCAAAGATAGCCCTTGAGTGCTTTATAAGGAAGAACTGGTAAATCAGCAGATGAGAGGAACTAACAGACCAAAAAGTAGTGGGGGTTGGGGAATGGCTGATAAACCCTTCTGAAAAGTAATACAGTTTGTATTGTTACTTCGGAGATGTGGATACTCAAACTATTCACTTATATAGCCATTCAACAAATTTACTGAGCACCTATTTTGTGCCACTGTTTCTAGGAGGCAAAGCGACAGCTGTGTGAACAATGCACGTGCTCTGGTGTGGCTTCTAGGCTAGGAGAATGCACTTACTTTGTGGCATGCATGCCCAAAACCTTGATGTGACTTTAGATATTCAGGATTCCCTTTGTGATATAAGGAGATATATCAGGATAGATGTGTGCTTGGCAGTCACCTTTATTCAGGATTAGAGGCAGGACGCTTGGCTCAGAAGATGTGCATGCTATAATTAAAATCAGAAAAACAGGGACTCAGTGACACTGAGGTAGAAATAAAATCTAGATGAGAATCAAGAGGAGAGTTGGAAGTTGATTTTCGCAGTTTTAATAAAATTGTCTAGAATAGCTTTGTTGGAATTTGCCATCAAGATTAGTAGTGGAAATATGCCCAGTGTAGTAGTAATTAAAATAATAACTTTGTCTTTTCATTTTTATTGTGTCCATTTTACACATAAAACATAATATCTATAACACATTTGTAAATTATGAATTATAAGATAAGCACCTATGAACCTACTACCTGATTTAAGGACTATGTTAGTTTCCTAGGGCTTCTGTAGCAAAGCACCACAAACTGGGTGGCTTATTGACAGAAGTTCACTGCATTAACAGTTGGGAGGCTAGAAGTCCAAAATCAAGGCATCAGCAGGATTGGTTCCTTCTAGAGCTGTGAGGGAGAATCTGTCTCATGCCTCTTGCCTTGCTTCTGGTGTTTTTCTGGCAATCTTTGGTGTTCCTTGGCTTATAGATGCATCACTCCAATTTTTGCCTTCATTTTCACAAGCCATGTGAAACACATTGCCTATGTGTTTCTGTCTTCACATAGCCAACTTCTTACAAAGACCACAGTCATATAGTATGAGGGGACCACCATACTACAGTATGATTTGACCTTAACTAACTACATCTGCAACAACCTTATCTCCAAATAAAGTCACATTCTGAGATACTGGGAGTTAGGACTTCAACCTGTCTTTTTTGGGAGGACGCAATTCAACCCACAACAAGGTCTGTAGTAGAATATTACCAATATTACATCTATCTGTAAGTTTCTTCTCTCCATTTCTCTGTATGCCTCCTGCAGGTAACCACTATCCTGACTATGTATTATCATTCTCTTGTGTTTTGATATTGTTTTATCACATAAATATGCAGATGAACCAATATATTATTTAATTTTCCTTGTTTTGTAACAACCTTCTGCAACTTGCTTTTTTCATGAAAGATTTTTAAATTCATGCATGTTATTGTATGCAGTAGTAGATTATTCATTTACAAACTTCTATAACATCCCAACATGTTTGGATATCCAAATTTTTTTTTTCCTTTTTGTCTTTTTCCGTGTCCGGCAACGGATCGCAACCCTCAGTGT